CAGAGACCTGAAACGGGGCCCGGGAGCTTCGAGAGGGTAGACACTGGGCGGCTCATGATCTCATAACCAGGCCGTGCCTGAGCTGCTGCTGCAGGACTCAAGATCCAGACAGGGATAAAAATAGACCTTTGCATCCTGTCTCTTTCAAATCGGTCGTTGTGATGACTTGCAGACAGGGGAGGAATGAAAAGAGATAAAAATGCATCAGTCTGCTCTACTACACAGGTATCAAGCTGCTTTATCACCTTCTTAGTCATTTGACAAACTGTTGCCTGGATCTGAATAATTGAGTGAAGAGTACGAGCTCTTGTGGGTGTGATGAGCGTTGTAAGAACATGGTATAGCTTTTGAGTAAATAAGAAAAGTGTTGGAGATAATTCCCTCCAATGTATGTAGAGCATCTTAACGGCAAATAAGTTTTCAGATAACTCTTGGCCGTGATTGCTAACTTCTCTATTAAACCATTTTCCACTCTAGGTGCAGCTATTTTCTTTGAATTCAAACACTACAAGCCTAAGAAGAGGTTTACTAGCACCAAGTGCTTTGCTTTCATGGAGATGGATGAAATTAAACCTGGGGCAATTGTTATAGAACTGTAAGTGACTTGCAATTATAGATGCCAATGACACAGGAGATGAACTAGATTTCAGTTACAATGTGCGCCTTGTTGCATCAAGGAAGGTTTCTTGGACTCATTAGATTGACTTCCACAAGGAATTGTCTATTTTTAATAAAGAAGGGAAGATAAAATGCTTTTAGGCAAATAAAATGGCTAGAGACTTTTCTCAAAACTCAGACTATTTCCAGACAAAATGCTGGTGTTTGTAACTAAATTCTGTATGAAGTTAACAAATTCTGTATGGGTGATTTTAATTTTGACCTCAGCTTGAGTGTCAGATCAGCTATATTAGGAAAAAAAAAACCAAAACAAACCAACAAACCCAAAAATCAACTCTCACAGTCTTTTGGTACAGAACTTCTGTAAAGGAAATCTGATTTGAGACATGGGATACTGATTGGCAATTGAATTCTATGAACGTTTCAAAGCATTGTTGGGTGACTGGTTTTTTCCCCGCTCTAAGTATACCAAGGGAATACTCAGTTGTTCCGCGGTGGTTATAATGTGCATCCTACCCTCACTGTGTGGCTGAAAGTCTGAGTGAGGTTTTTGAGGGGTTTCTCAGGAAGAGGGGTGACCCTTGCAATTCTGGGCATCTCTAGGAAGAGTGCTTAGTCTGTGCTAGCTGGAGTACTTCGGAAGTACTTCTACAATCCAGAGTATTATATTGGGAATTCTCCTTACAAAAACCTTACGTTCATTTAAAAGTTGAAATCTTTGTTTTGTTAAAATAACAATCCAGACAAAATAGTGGTTTGAGTTTCTTCCTGTGAATCTGCTCATTATTGTTGCTTCCAGTAAGTCTCGTCAGATGCATTTAAAAGATTACAGTAACAAGATCTGTACGGGACAAGCTTTCTAGTATGCTTTCATGTTCCTGCACAGCCATTAGCACTTGGATTAATTTACTTTCTTGTGGTTACAGGTACAAAAAACCCACTGACTTTAAAAGGAAGAAATTGCAACTGTTGACCAAGAAACCACTTTACCTTCACCTCCATCAAACATTACACAAGGAGTGACCCTAGTTGCAGGACTTCTGTGAACTGCACCACAAGTCATGGTAGCTGTGTGTAGTAGCCTTAGCCTTCAAGGGGCAGGAAAAACGACTGTATTCATGCCAGTAGGTCAGACGGGACCATCACACACTGCACAGCACTACTTCAGGGTCAGAGGCAAGCCTACCATTCACGTGCAAGATATTTTCAGTACCTTCCAGATACAGGTTTTTCCGAGAGCCCTGAAATACGTTGACTGCTTTTCCTAATTTTGCTGTTCATCACTCTTTATCTTAACCGTTATTAGCCTTTTGCCTCAAACTCCACCCAAGGATGGAGACTGCCCCTTTGCCAAACCTGTAGCAATAAAGATGTGGCAGGCCTACTAACTGTTTACACTTGCTGTGCTGTTTTAGTTCCTCTCATCTGCATTTCGGAGTCTTCTGTAGCAGGCTGGGTGGCAGAAGAGTGGGAGAAAGACGAGGTGGGGTGGGAAGGAGCTTGAAGTACTGCAAGTGGTTTAAAGTGAGAGAGAGGAGGATGCTGGGTCAAGCAAGGTAGCTGCAGAAGAGCTCCTCAGTCAGCTGTTCAGCTTTGGTTGGGCCAGGAGGAGGACAACTGCAGATGAGAACACTGAACTATGATTTTAACAGCCTTGCCTGATCCACTCGTACTGAGTTTTGGATACTCTACGTGTTACAATCCTATAAATCACCATTACTCCCCAGTAGAGATTCTTTTTCTGTATCTTGTCACAGAGGGATTTGCAAAGGTGGGTGGGGGACAGAGAGAGGCTTTCTCCAGGGCTTCAGCCTCGTGGCGGTGGGCATTTCACCACTTCAGTGACAGCAGGACAGGTCCCTCAGCATTCAAGCATCAATTTTCCAGAGCTTTTGGTAAAGTAGATCTGGCTAGCAGGTTGACCCACCTTTTACATGAAACTGCTGTTCTTACAGAAACTGATTGTATGCAGTTTTCTGCATATTTTGTGCGAGTCTGGAAACTTACTCTAAAAATTACCTTTTTATGTAAGTGGATAGGATTATCATTTATTTTCTATATTTTTGATTTAGTGTGTAATAAGCTGCAGGACATTGGCTTATTCTGACACACTCACATTCACCTTTTGACCTAATAAAGGGACAGAAGTAGAACCCAGTCCAATCTTTCATATATTTTTGTGGATATTTAATACTTTAAGGTTTGATATACTTCTTGCGTATCTAACTAGTGCCTAAATACTCTGCTATGCTAATGAAAGACCTAGCTCTCAAAATAGTGTCAAATATTAGGTTTATTTTAAACAGTCTGGGTGCAAATGTATCACCAATTCCTTTTCTCTGTCACGTAACCCCAAGATGTTACATTATGCTTTAAGGAAGGGATGTTACTTTTTCCTCATGGTATTTGTCTGTCTACAGGCAGGTGTTCAGTGTTTTTTTGGCTTTACTGTATTGATTAGGATAAAAAGCTATTTTTGAATGTCCTGATTTTGCCTTCCCTCTGTTCTGGTATAACTAGGGATGATGTTATTTTAGGTGTTATGAGAAAAAAAAAACACCAAACAAACAGCAACACTTCCTCAAATTCCTCTACTGGTTGGAGGAGGGGCAGGGGGGAAGTGCAATTGAATGTTCCTGTTTATGGGTCTTTACAATACCCCAATGATATTACATCTCACACGTTCAGTATCAAGCCCTGAAAAGATCTCCCTATGAGTTTTGGAGTACCTCTGCATGCAGCATTCTGGATACCAGACATTCGAGGCTATGTACATTCTTAAAAAATGAATAAAAATCATCCTTTGAACTCTGCAAAAGGATGGAGCAAAGCATTAGTCTATGGCTGCGAATAAGTGTGAGCTGTGTCACCTGCTGGTGGTCCCTGGCTGGCTCCAGTCTCTTTCAGACCTTCCAACAGGCTGTAGCATGGAGCATCCCCGTGAGGCGTACAGCCCATCTCGCTCAGCAAGGGACGGTTCTGCGGCTCTGCTGGTCCCCTGTGTCTGCCAGTGTCGCTCACGGCCTGGTGAAAGCACTTGGTCTGTCAGTTGGGTGCTCCTCCTGGCACGTGCCCCTTCCTCTTGGTGTTCCCAGAGGGAGATTCCAGCCAGCTGCGGTGGGGGTGGGATCTCAAAGCGTGGTGTTGGGGAAGGGAAGATCCTGAACTTGACTTTCAAATGGGGATGTTCATCAAGGTGTGTGTCGTTAGCCGCTACGCAAACTGAACACTTCCATTTGAACGACAAACCTGTATTGTCAGCTGCTCACTTTCTCTCTTCCCCAGCTCGTAGATGTGTCTGTATTAACTCCAGTTATATGAAACGTCAACTTGGAAGTAGTTTTGTTAAATACACAAGTGGATCTTTGTATTTAACTCATTGTGAATCAGCGTCTGTAAGAGTGTGAAATACCATTTTTAAAGTTGCTTCTATCCTTTGTGGTTTTTCCATCAGCTGTCTTTCACCGAAAGGACGACTCCTCCCCACCACACAAGCTCTTGTACTGTTTTATGCCTTAGTGATTTTCTGTTGTCTTTTATGTGAAATACAAAGCTTAGTACTTGTGCTTTAAGAATGTAACACCCAGATGGCAAGTTTAATGGCTGCTTGTACTCCGGCAGTAAAGCAGTAACGGCCTCTCAGTAGGGTTTTTTTATTATTCCTAGTTCTTTTCCCCTTCTTTTTCCTCCCTGAGGCCTACTTTTGTACAGAGCACTTCTGAAAAACCTTAGTGTCTAGATAACTGCATGACCTGCTATGCCAAGTACTACATACTCCCCCCCTTGTACCGAACACTTACACTCAGGGACTTTCTTGAACATCTGCAAGTGTCGGCAGGGCGTGTGTTCAGAGCTAGCCCGTGCTCTGCCTATGCAAACTGATTTCAAGCACTACAGATTAATAAGGTTTACATACACCCAGTCTGCTTTATGGAAAACTTTGGGTGTGGGGTTTTTTTTTTTAATATAAGCAAAAAGGGCTATAAAAATACAGCCCTGCTACTAAGGAAGGTGAATTGGTCTCTCAAACCTTTGCTTAGTGCTGCAAGCCAGTCTTGAACGCAGAAAGCAATTATGAATTTCTTACTTTCTAGAATGCTGGCACATTCACCGCGCAGCTTCATGAGGGCTTCCAGCTCTGTTCTGCCCTTCGGCTGAGGAGGGCTGTATCCCCCTTTGTCCTCATTACCTGAAGCCAGTCTGCAACAGGCTCGACTAGTTCAGCGTAAGGGTGACAGAGTCGTTAATCTTGCAGCAGTGGCAGTTACTCAGCCATGATGCAATTCTTCAACTTGGTCATGCCTGTGGCATTCTCCAGTTAAATTACAGAACCAATGTCCTTTCTGATCAAAAAATGGCACTGAAACAAAGCCTTCGGGGTTTAGCAAAAGGAATTTTGCTTTTTATTATAACTTTCCTTTGAATACAGTGTCATTTGTGCTTCTGATCTCTGACCAGATACCTTTTTCTTTTTTTTTTAAAAAAAAAAAAGGCCAAAAAACCCCACCACCTCACAGTCCTCATGTAAACCCCCAGCCTACAATAACTGCAGCTTAATGATGTGATGGAGAAGGCAGGTAGGATAGCATTTTACTTAAAAATTATTTCCACAGGAAATGATTTGATTTACATTTTTCACGAAATTAGTTCATTCACCAACTGGTTACAGAGGCTACATTTAATTAAAACTAGCCACACAGGTACTTCCTTCCTATTGCACGTTTAGAGTAGGTTCAAGTCCATCACAGAAAGGTTCTTGCAGCCCAAGAGGGTGGATGAGTTTAAGGTGATCATAAATGCACGTAAGATGTCTGTAGCAATTGGGTAAAAATTAATCCCGCAAAAGCTGAAATATACTGAAATGAGACAAATGGCTTCAAAGAGGGAGCCATTTGCCAAAATCCTGACTGCAGGAAGTGCGCTGGAGTCCATTCCATTGAGCTGCTGACCAGGCGCTGCAGTCAGGGCTTCTGCACTGGTGGCTGTGTGCAGTCCTTTGAGCCTGCCGGCGGTGGTGGTGGGGGGCCCGCGGGGTAGTCTCTAGGTCCTGATGGAGGCAAGTCTCTGTTAGGAGAAGGCGTATAGTCTCTTGAACCAGGTGGGGGTAGCCGTGGGCCTGGAGGATAATCTCTTGGGCCAGGAGGACCTAGGGGTCGAAAAGGAGGGTGCCCACGGCCATAGCCTCTTGGATCTGGGGGCAGTGGTGGTGGGCCAGGAGGCAGATCTCTCATTCCTAAGGGTGGGCCAGGTAAGAAATCTCTTGCAGCTGGAGGTGGCAAGGGAGCACCACGAACTAGAAGGAAAGGAAAACATGGAGTTACTGCTTTAACCTAAATGGTGAAGCTCTTGATTCATTCCTCATTTCTTCGTTTTTCAGAGCAGCTTGGGGGTGGGTCACTGTCACATGCAGACTCCACAGGCCATGAATTATATTCTAGTGATTTTTGGCTGCTGGTTTCCCTTTTAGAATAAACAAGGAAAAAATACCTCCTTAATACCTTGGGGGCTTAATACCTGGGTACTAAGGAGGCTTTAAAACCCCCACCTGTCCAAGCTTACCGAGCAAGACAGCGAGAGCCCACGAAGCGTGGGGAAGCTGTGTGCCAAGAGATGGCAGATCTCAGTTCCGCAGTGGGCTTCTCAGAAGCACAGTGGGAAAAGCTAAATTTCAGCACACGGCAACGCAACCATACCTAGGGGCACAGGCAGAGGTCGAGGCCCAAAGTGCCCACGGAGAGGAGGTGGCGGCGGTCCGTAGCGAACAGGTGGTGGAGGCGGAGGTCCCATCACTGGGGAGGTCATGATAGGTGTCCCAGGGAAAGAAGGTGGGCCTTTGGGACTAGCATTAGCCTGTGCAAGATGAGGTTATACTTCAGTGCGTTACCCGCTGCATCAGAGAGGTACTGACACTGCTGAAGACCACAACCACTCACCCAAAGGCCAAGAGGTGGAAAGGAGGGAGAGAGAGGGGAGAGAAAAGAAAAAAACCACACCCCAAAACACATTAACCAAGTGGAAAATAGGGAAAGTTACTGCACCATCGTTGTCCCCTCACCCAGAACACTGCTTGCACTACCTCAGAGCGAGTGCCCAGTGTGCCTTCCGAGATGACAAGTTTTCTTTAGCTAAAGCTGTACTAAAGAAAAGTTCAGTCCCTTCTGAAGTGTCTTCGGTAGGCACCCCTTTTGGCAAAGGGCCTGGCACCTTGAATTACATATGGAATTACACCTAAATACCATAGGTAAGTCAGGTTCTTAGGATTATTGTGGTAGTCACTCCGAAGTGTGTGCCTGCAGTCCTTAACAAGAAAGATCTCATTTCCTCAATTCCATAAAAACCAGACAGCAACCCTTCATCATTAGAGAAACCTTTTGAGACAGAGGTGTAAGCCCCCGGTTAGTTTCGCAGAGCACTTTGTTATTCAGCAGTTTGGAACACCAAGCCTGTTATTCCTCTCCATCAAAGCAGAGTAAAACCATATTCAGCCTCCCAATACTCACTGTAGCTGGTTCAACAGATGAGGATGAATCAGTAGTTACACAGGGGGCCTCAGACTCTTTGGGAGAGGGGTGCTTTTTTTTTTTGGGGGGGGGGGGGGGGAACAGCAAATAAGGATAGTGACAAGATATAGACAAGACAGAACATGATACAGTTAAAGAAGCAGCAGGAAGACAGTGAATCATGTATTATAAACGCTTCCTGAAGGTTGGGGTTTTTTCAGCTTACCGCTCCCTCCATTGCTGTGGAAGGGGAGGAGGTTCTTAGCCCACCACTGATCAGGGACGCTACAGCAGGCCCGAGATCTGTGAAGAGAGAAACGAACGCACGTCTTAACCACACCTGGGGTAAGGAAGATGTTTTTTAAATTACATTTCTGAAGTAAAAGAGTAACTGAGTAAGTCGCAGTTGGTTGCAGGCCACATAACTTACCAGGAACAGACATCCTTCCGGGTAACTCTGGTGGCCTTCGTGGAACAGGGGGGCCATCTACCATTGTACCTTAAGGGAAACAAGAGCCCCAGAGATCCTGATGAACGTATGCCTGAGCTATTTCTGTTGGGTTTTTTGGTTTGTTGGTTGGCTTAAAAAACAATCAATCTTCTGTGTATTAATGAAGCAGGTATCGATACTTAACACTGTCCGTAGGACCAAGATCAGACCTTTGCCTTCTTCGGTTTGCAGCGTAAGAGACAGCAATCACAGAAGGGAAGCTTCACTGCTTACCAAATTCTCCTCTCGAGCCTTCCCTTCGAGGAGCAGAAAGGGGCCGAGCAGGAACTTCTATCATCTGCGTGGGTGATGGATTCCCTCCACTCACAGGTGATGGGCCGAAAGAGCCATCTCTGCTTAAGGGCCCTATGCCAAAGATGAAAAAACACTTGATTTACTTCTCTACAATTTATCCATAGCCTTATTTTTTTTAGGACATACTGACTCAAAGACCAAAGTTTCGGGAGAAACAGCAGCGTTTACCTCGTCGCGGTGGGACTTGGTGATCAGGTCTGCCTGGAGTTGGCTTTACAATTAACGGTCTTTGAAGCATGACGATTTTTTGGTTTACTTCTATTAATCTAATTTTAAAAAATAAAGTTGTTTTTATTATTCAAACAATACACGTGAGTTATAGTTGTTATATAATGTAAGAAAGCAAACTGCCTTGTAAAACGTTACAGCTTTCACCACGACGTCTTACTTTAGCCACCAAAACAGTTTAACAGTAGTTTAAATACACGGCACGTTCCGAGCAAGCAGGCTACCCGAGCACCTCGCGTTGTTGGAGCTCCTTCTCTCCCAGGCAACCCGGAGCGTGCTCGCGGAGCAACAAGTGCTCTGTACTCTACTTACTTTTGTCTCAGGTTGGCTGCTTCTCTTTTTTCTTCAGCCAGAGCTCTCTCGGCAGAGCGGGCAATAAGCTATTAGGGAAAATTTTGCCAGCTGCGTTAACTGCACCAACCTGAAGTCAAATACAAACTGTTTGTGTCAGAAAAGGAGGAACATTCTTACCCAGTTATCATGTGCCTTCTTCTCATGAGCAGCAATCTGAGAAGAAAAGAAATGGTTTAGTTTGTTTTGTTGAGCTACTAGTTTTTCCAATAACTCACTAGAGAGCACTGAAATGATGCCAGTAAAGGATGACACAATAACCAGCAAGGAAGAAGTTTACCTGGTTTTTGTAAGATCTCTCTGTTTTTTGCAATTCTTCTTCCATGTCTTGGATCCTTTGCCTGTACAACAGGAAAGAGGGGAAGGAGAGAGGTTTAAATGAATTTCCTTCAATAGCTGAAATAGAAGAAAACAACAGTCTTCAGGAACTGAAGTTACTTGTAAACTTTCACTTCCTCAATTGCCAGCACAGCTTTTTCATCTGCAGCAGACAATTTCTGCTCCTTCTCCTGACGCTCATACTCTTCCTGGGTTAGTTTTCTGTACAGGAGAATAAAAAAAAAAGCACCATGTATTCCACCATCCTACATATACTACAACTCAGAATCAAGGTATTCTCCTGCTAACGACAGTGATATCAGAAACCATAATAATGTGTGAGAACACAGAGTGAGAATGAAGAGAGGTTTTGTGGTTTTTTTTTTTTTAAAATACTCTTTTGAAACCAACAGACAAACCCTTTGTGTCTAAAACCTGAAAGTTAAGAGTGCAGAGTTGACTGGAAAGTTCTGCCAGCCTCTAAAGATTTCTCAGAATCTAACAATTGCAGACAGTTCAGCTCTTTGGATCCTGTAGTTCACTTACCAATTCCTCAGATGGTAATCCAGATTTACAGAGGTACACACAAGGAAATGCAGAACTGACATCTAACCAAGGGAAATGAAGAAATGAATGTGTAGTGGAAAACAGGGAATTTAGGGCCCAGGTGACAAACCTATTCAATAGTCATCAACCATGTGGAAAGAAGCTTTCTTTCAAGTATTCTCCGCACTGATTTATTATATGACTAATTTCCACAGTCTTTTTATAACCTCATGGTTCACTAATTTCTTCATTTTTGACGTTTTTCTGGAAGTAGTTAAGAGGTCTATAATGTGTTCCCAACTGACAAGAGCTATCCTACAAAACAGGAACCATTAAACTAGTAGTAAGTTGACTATTGCTAATAGCCAGTTCAACATAATCCATTTCCTTGGTTATATGTGGAAACAGTTTTCCAAAAACTGCAGGAAGTCCTTCATTCTAATCGAGAAGTAGTAACAGGCAGTGTAACTTCCTAAAAATTTTGCAAGGAATAGAAATCCTTCAGAGAGGTCAAGAGGAAGTTTTCCTTGAAAGGTGGGCTATCCTTCACCTCTCCATTACGTGTTTACTACACCTGGAGCCTAAAGTCATGAGGTCAGGCAGTTTCACTACGGTGGTGCTGTACAGTCTCAACTCCTTAGCTTGTTCCAACCCTGTGCTTCCCCCAGCCTACTCACTTGAACCTTAGAACTTCCAATTGCTTCTCCACCACAATTTCAGCTTTCCTAA